CAATGACTTGTTTACTCAACAAAAGTTTTTACTCTGATTTTTAGAGCTAAACTGTTTCAGTTGAAAATGAATAAAAAAAATCCTCTGCTGTCTCGTGAAGTATTTGAAAGCTCCAAGTGGGGCTTTGTACCAGACACTTTCATATGAACTCAGTAGCTGCACTGTATCTTTATTTTACAGGGATGTTCATGTTGTGTGATTTTGGTGTCAATTTATTTCCGTAAAACTCTGAATGCTTCCGAGATGACCTGAATGCTAATTATTCATGTAATTGCATTATGGGAATGTTTACCAAGTAAATAAACAGAAGCAATCATGGAACAGGGGAGAACAATAGCGTCCTCTCTCCTTTCCTTCTGCCTTACATTGTCACTACTGATCAATTTCATCTCGCTCAACTCTTGATAGCTTTAATAGGAACCATTGTCTTTGCTCATATTCACTGAATTTATGGGAAGGGCATTATTAAATCCATTGTATATTTATGTTTAAACTGTTCTTATAAGGCGACACCTACTGACATTGAATCTCCTGACCCTTATTTTCATCATACAAATGGTTGGGATTACGTGTTACGTGACAGAGCTGTAAAACCATCTTCTTATTCCTGAACTGAATAGATTTTTGTTATCCTAATTTATCTTGGCATTTAATTTATCCTTAAAGATAACATATTTATACTTCATTGCGTAAGCATTCCCAAGATAGAGTTGACCATAATAGCACATGACAATTTACTGATGCTTGATTCAAGATTTAGATTAATACTGTACTATACTCAGTTGTGATTTCCACACACTACAAAAGTTTGTTTAGCTTGGGCTGTTCACTGAAGGTAGAGCTAATGATATGACTGATTGTACATTTGGTGTCCATCGTCCAACATTAATTTTTCATAAATAATGTTTCTTCAAGAAAACTACTCTGAGATTTCGTCTCGTATTTGATGTGTGAGTTAAGGGGACCTTGTTCTTATTTGTTCATTTTTGAGTGAGTATTTTTTTTATTTTTGGTAGAAAAAGGATGTTTTCGATTTTTTTGGGAAAACTGCAGACCCAAGTGCTTTGCTGTTTGATATATTGTGGAATACTGTATTTTAGCTGAAATTAAGTTTTGCTGAATACACTTTTTGGGTGTTTTGTATGGAATTTATTTTCACTGATTTTGGAATGTAAAATATAGGAAAAAAGGTATATTTGCTGGATTTTATTTTCACTGAATCATTCCTCCAGCGAAAATAGTGAAAATTTATTCCAAGCGAAAATAAATCATTCCACATTATGTACCATTTCATCATGGTATCGTCAATTCTCTATTTTTAGCAAATATTTGTCAATTTCGGTGAAAAAGGCTATGTTTAACTTCTTGAAAACTACCAGCCTGATTGCGGATTAATTCTACTAAATTCTGTGTTCTGTAAATCAACAGTTATGGCAGTGAATCTATCTCTAACAATAGTTTACTTGTTTCAAAATGTCTAGTGATTTATCATAAATATTTCAAACTCTAGGTCCCTTTTGTTTTTCACATTAAATGATTTTATTGGTAATGAAAGGTATGTTGCCACAAGTGACTAGTTTGATTTCTGCAGTATTGAAAACATCTCTTGTCAATCCTCTGATAAATTAAGGGCATATAATTGCGGAAACGCAATAATTACTTTGAGTTTAGTACTACTTCGGACCAAAGAAAGCTGTTGTAGGTTTCCTGTTCAGCGATTTCAAATGATACAACGTTTTTACAGCTTCATATCATTATACGAGTAGAGAATACTGCTGTGATTCTGCGTGAAGTTGGCAGGCTTCGTATTTCAATAGTTGACCTTAGTTAACAAGGACTTACTGCCTTTTTAAAAAGTGTTCAATTGAAAAGTTCAATTGTCAAATTTTTCTCTCGGTGAGACACACTTAAGACTCTTACTTCAAAGTTGTGGTTTGATGGGGGTCATTTGACATGATGTAGATCAGATGACCCAATTTGTTCATCCATGGTTACTAGGGATACTAGATGAGAGATTTGAGATATTGACAAAACTAGTGACTAGTGCACATGATAATACATTGCTGATTGTGCTTTATATACTAAAATGGCCGTCTGGACAAATTTATCAACTAATTCCTGTCATCAGCTTTTTTTTTTATTATCTTTAATAACACAATATCATCTCATCTTACCAGCTTCTTATCGCCATAGTGATTTCTTTACTTTATCGTTAACCAAGACAGTGCTTTATTTGCTCAATTAATAGCACATCTCTAATAGAAGCGCATGTAAACCTGAAAATGCATGTTGAAAATGTGTTTTATTTTGACCAAAGACACAACTTTGTCATTTCCATAAACACATGCGCTCCTAAAAAAACCCTAAATATGTTATTCTGCATCTTAGAAATAATCAGTTATCGTTAAAGTAAACACTTGTCAATGTTCACAATTAAAGTCAGCTGATTTATCTTGTACTTTTTTTCAAAAGATGAGCATGACTTATGGCCAATGTGTTATTGTCCAAAAATTACAAATTAAAAGAAATTCTGAAAAAAAAAAATGTGTAAAATGTTGCACAATTTTTTTTGGCGGGAAATTACTGGTGTTCAAGGAGTTATTCAGACCAAGATAATACAGGTAGTATGATGGAGAGTGTAGTGTAGATACTACAAAATCCTTCAAATGAATTTTCTATTCATTCGTTTGATACCATACTAGCCATTACAACGAATTAGGTAGAAAAAAATTCATTGCAAACTAAACTTTTGAACTCTTATCTGTAAAATCAATAGTGATCCCTACAACAACAAACCGCTTAATTATTCAATTAATTGATCCATCAATCTTTTATTTTCATTGATTGATTGTTTGTTAGGATATCTCTTGTGCACGACATTGCTCTTCACATAAGTGCTAGCAGTTATTATTTGTTCCTCTGAGATTGTCCACTCCTTATGAAAGTCAGCAGCGTTATTTTTAGTAATGCTCTGTTAAACTTACATAGTAACTAGCATGACGACAAAACATCCACGAAATTGGAGAAATTACTTCAACACTCACTCAACAGTTTGAACAAGTCAGCTTGTCTGCCTGGCTTGTGGCATTTATTATGTGTAGGAATCATGTGTATGGCCTGGCAATGAATTATGTTTTTTTGTACAACATCATGTATATCATATTTCAAGAAATTATTAATAACTATAAATATCAATGTCTTTGCACCTGGTAGACCTGCGGTGCAATGAGTAAATTTCCTGTTGAAACTATTGTATTGGTTTCCTGTTTGGAAAAAGCTGAGTTCAAATGATAACAATCGATACAGTTGAAATACTCAACTAAATACACAATGGGAGTTTTGGCAGTTAGTGTGTATGTGTGTCTAAAAGCTGTCAACTTTGGACATTGTTTTTAATTTATACTCACCTTCCGAGGACCTTTTTAGCTCCGCTGTCGACTTTGTCGAGCGGAGCTTATCATATGAGTGATTGTCCGTCGTCGTCTGTCGTCCGTCGTCGTCCGTGTCAATGTTTTACTTTTTCGACTTCTACTTCAAAACTACAAGCCTGAATGCTTTGATACTTGGTGTATATGTACCTTGGGTAGACCTCTCTCAGATTTGTTCATTTCATGATGATATCTTTAATTCTCTAATTTTGGTGAATATTTTTGTCATTTTTGGTAAAAAGTGATATTTTTTTCTTGTTAAAAACCACAATCATTTGTGTTGAAAAATGATATTTTTGAATTCTTGTTGAAAACAGCAAGTCCCATTGCATTGATACTATGCATATTGTTCATTTTCTAATGATATCTTCTGTTCTTTAATTGAAATGTGCATCGCTAACAGCGGAGCTATCTCAGCCGAGAGGCTGCTTGTTCATAGTTCTCGGGAAAACATAATTTATATTAATAGTTAACTTGATTATTAATACGTTTTGCGTAGCTTAGTTTGTAGGGGGAAGGTATGGTACAGTTTATATTAATATAATTGTACCATACCTTCTCCCTTTACTAAACCTAAGCTTCACAAACATTTCTATGTTCAGTCTCGGGATATTCAACTTTTATTTAATTTAACTTAATTAAAACGTTGAATTGCATTGTAATTGAGTTTAATTAAACTCCAATTAAAACGCAACCCTATAAAGGAACATGTTTTAATTAAGTTCATATCGCAATTATATTAAAAGTTAATTCAATGTGTGGCGTCACAACTACGGTAACACCTATATCCGTGTGTGTTTGTTCCATTGATATCTCATAACTAATTATCAGATTTGAAACTTAGTATATTGATGTTCTTGGATGAGAATCAGACCTGACTAGTTTTTGTACACATCCTTTCATACTCCTCCTGTGTGACACAAACATGACAAAATATTATTTGTTGAAATAAATAATGGCCTTCATAAATCAGATGTTGATCAGTTTGGTGTGTTTGCACATTTATTAAGATTATAAATTGTGTTATTGGTAAATAAATTTAGTTTATGTCATACTGGGTAATAATAATTTATTTATATTACCGTTTTCAGAATGAGGTAGTTTGTTTTGCCCTCTCCTTCTTTTCTATACGCCCCTAAACCTCCATCTGCCCCTCTATGTACCTAGCTATCCCATCTATACTCCCTGCTGCTCCTTTGGTTTGGCTCTTGCATGACATTTTTCATTGTCATGCAATGTATATTTTAATAAACAACTCTGGCAAGATAACAAAATTGGTTGACTAAATTGGATTCTTGTAAATGACCTTGGTAGTTCAACATTCGTTCATTTGCATATCAATCAACATTTCAATATTAATTTCAATAAATGAAGGCAATCGGCTTTGCAACTGTAAATTCATATTTAATTATTCTTAAACATTTTTATTAATGTCCCATCATCTGTGTGTTGTGTTGATACCTTGTTGTCATGGCAACCGATGCATCTGGGGGTGATTGTTCATATTCTTTGCTATTTTGTATCTTCATCAGAACCTTCTGCAGGTGTGCGAACGCATCCCGACTATAAGCACTCAGCTGAAGATACTCTCAACTGTCAAAGCCACCATGCTTGGCGCACAAGGTAGGTCAAAGGTCAAAGTGTGAACATTTCTCTTGTAACTTTGACAGTGATTTGTATTTTTATAGACAACTATACATTTGTAAATTCATATGGCTGGTCTCAAATGGCAGCTTTTGTATTCTTCCAATGACTTTTTTGATGTGCCCACCCGATCCCCCATCTTTATCGATGAGAGTAATCATTCAAAACTATGCATCTAAAAGGTTTGTTTAAATATGGGTAGGAGAAATCTTTTTACTATTAATTTTTGATAAAAATGTTTAATATTATTCGTCAAAGCAGCGACGATGTACACTGCTGAGTCTTCTTAGTTCTTTATAATAGATTTCATTTCTTCTCATTTTATTTCCTCTTGTCCCTGCAGGTTCGGAGGAAGATCAGGAAGCCACAGAAATGTTGGTCGGCAATGCTCAGAACCTAATGCAGTCAGTAAAAGAAACCGTTCGTGCGGCAGAAGCTGCTTCTATCAAGATTCGTACAGATTCAGGATACACATTAAATTGGATTCGAAAACGACCATGGTACCAGTAAAATCAAACATTCAATTTATTTTGTTGGTGGTTGAAATAAAAAAATGGCATGTCCATTCTGTGCCTAGATCATTATGGTAAAAAGACAATATTTTCTATGTAATATAAAAATAGTATGGAGGGGGTATTATTATGTTGAGACGGTTAGGTAAAAGCTATTTCATAATAAAGTCCTCTAAAAAGAAGGGGGGACACATACTATTTTTTTTAACCCTTTTATGGTAGGCTTTTCATTAAAATTAAAAATAGTTACTTTATAGATAAATATTATACATGCATGGATTTATAAAAAGTAGAGTGATATAGAAAAAATAAAATGATTTATTCTATAAAAATGTCAAGATCATGTGATAGAATTCATTCCTTTAAGTTCTACTTCGTGATTATAAGTGATTTCTTTTTTCATGACAAATAAATTAGGCTATATGATTAATGTGAATATAAACATCAACGATAAAGCATTTCATATATTTAAAAAAACACATTTAATCTTAAAACCGTTGTCAATGAAATTTATTGCTGATAGTCAGGTTCTAAAAATAACTATTCTTTTTCTAAAAATGCAAACGGATGGATTTTCATTAATCATAATAATTCCACAGTATTTGATAGTATCAGTAAATTCTGTAAAAACAAAATGTCTTTTGAAAATTACTGTCTTCTAAATGAGTGCATTGCATTGTGGGATATTTAGTATGATGTGTGGTGGATCATGAGAAAACATCTTCATTTGAGGGAGTGGTATTGTTATTAATTATTTGGGTTAAACTTTTGGGAATGTAATTTCCATCATTACGATGGTTTGTGAAAATTAGGTCAATATTTCACAAAGATGAAAGAAAGAAATTTATGTATTGAGAAAATAAGTTACTGTAGAATACTTTATTTTCACTTGGAATTAATTTTCACTGAAGGAATGATTCAGTGAAAATAAAATCTAGTGAATATATATTTTTTTCTATATTTTACATTTACAACTTGTCAAAAATCAGTGAAAATAAATTCCATACAAAATACCGAAAAAAGTCTTTTCAGCCAAATTTGTTTCCAGCTAAAATAAAGTATTTTACATTATGTTCAACATTATGTTCAACATTAAGTTTATGTTGTGCATGTGCTCCACATACCTGTGTATGTTGTCATCTTGAATCTTTGATGTTAATGTGAAGCAAAATGTTTATTCAAAATTGGTTGTGAACCTGGAATTTTTATTTCCCAGTATCGATATTGTATTAGAAAAAAGAGATGGCTGGGAATTGGTGACTTTGGCAGAAAACCTGAATAATGTATTCTGTATTTGACAGGAACCTGAATAAATCATAAGAGATAAGCCATCACAGATTAGTGAAAAATCGGGGCATCAAAGTTATGCTTAAATTATTGAATATAAGAATATGATTTTGATGAAAATGAGGAATATTCGCGTGATTCAAAAGAAAGAGCACTGTTTTAATTATATTTTATTCTGTACCTTGTGAATAATTATTAAAGCATGACCTATTTATAGAAGCTGCCATAGTTTTGTAATGTTATGTATTTATTTAGATAACTAGTAGATATTTTACCAAATCCTTTATAAGTTTATGTATTTGTTTTTACATAGCTTGTGTATGAATATTCATATTTGTGTATGAATATTCATATTTGTGTATGAATATTCATATTTGTGTGATTATTCATGTGCAGCTATTCATGTTCTGGGAATATATTAGAATGTATACCTATTTTATGAATATTCATTAGGGTATATGAATCTTTAGTACTGTAAAATACTTTTATTTTTGCTTGGAATTTATTTTTCATTTAAGGGATGATTCAGTGAAAATAAAATCCAGAGAATATAACTTTTTTCTTGTATTTCACAATCAACTTGTCAAAAATCAGTGAAAATAAACTCCAAACAAAACTTCTAAAAAGTCTTTTTCAGCAAAGATTAATTTCAGCTGTAAAAGTATTTTACAGTTGATACATTTATCAGCAACATACTTATTATTTGTGTTTGTATTAGCTGGGATGCATTTTTTTTGCATTAGATGTCTTCATATTTATTAGCATTCATGTAGTAAGAAATCCTGCTTAGCACATGAATATTCATGATTGTTAGAAAATCTCAGCATTCATGAATATTCATGATTGTTAGAAACCCTCAGCATTCATGAATATTCATGATTGTTAGAAACCCTCAGCATTCATGAATATTCATGATTGTTATAAACCCTCAGCATTCATAAATATTCATGATTGTTAGAAACCCTCAGCATTCATGAATATTCATGATTGTTAGAAACCCTCAGTATTCATAAATATTCATGATTGTTAGAAACCCTCAGCATTCATGAATATTCATGATTGTTAGAAACCCTCAGCATTCATAAATATTCATGATTGTTAGAAACCCTCAGCATTCATAAATATTCATGATTGTTAGAAACCCTCAGCATTCATGAATATTCATGATTGTTAGAAACACTCAGCATTTATAAATATTCATGAGGGTTAGAAACCCTCAGCATTCATGAATATTCATGATTGTTAGAAACCCTCAGCATTCATGAATATTCATGATTGTTAGAAACCCTCAGTATTCATGAATATTCATGATTGTTGGAAACCCTCAGCATTTATGAATATTCATGAGGGTTAAGAAACTGATGCCTTTTACATGAAGTGATGCATTTGGGTTGTGAAGAAAACTCAAATCATGCTTATAAAACTTGTTTAAACTTATAGAAATAAAAGTGATTTTTTGGTAGATACTTGTTTGAGAGTCCATATTATTGCATGTATTCATCTATGATCTCTGGGTAGGTGTGGCATGCTATTATCTGAATTTATTGGATTTAAGCCAAGAAAAGTCCTCACCAGCTTATACCCTGGGAAGTGAAATGGAATTCAGTGTTTTCTCCCTATTTTATACCTGTTGTTCTTTGATATGTGAGTCTGTTAACTACTTTGTGTAAGAATATGAATAATTGACTTTTACGGTTGGTTAATTTTATTGCACAACATTTCAAAATTGCTGACACTCCCAAGCCAGTCAAACATGTCTGTCTTTTGAACTTGCTACCTTGAATGGAAAAGAAGGTCAATCACAATCCTATAGCGGAAAATTTAAAACAAAGGATTTCGAAAGCATCACAAATATCGTTTTTAGCTCCGCTGTCGACTTTGTCGAGCAGAGCTTATCATATGAGTGATTGTCCATTGTCGTTTAGTTCTCTAATTTTGGTGAATATTTTTGTCCTTTTTGGTAACAAGTGATATTTTCGACTTCTTATTAAAAACCGCAAGTCCAATTGCTTTGATATTACATATATAGGTACTACATGTGGACCTCTCTCAGATGTGTTCATTTCGTGATGATATCTTTAATTCTCTTATTTTAGTGAATATTTTTGTAATTTTTGAAAAAAAAAGTGATATTTTTGACTTCTTGTTAGAAACCACAAGTTTGATTGCTTTTATATTGCATATTAGATACTACATGTGGACCTCTTTCAGATTTGTTAGTTTTGTGGTGATATCTTCAATTATCTAATTTTGATAATTATTTTTGTCATTTTTGGTGAAAAGTGATATTTTTGAATTGAAAACAGCAAGTCTACAAATTGTTAGTCCCCGTTCGGACGCAGTCCGAAAACGGGGACTTATGTTTTGCCCTGTGTGCGTCCGTGCGTCTGT